CAGGAGTCCAATCCTCCAGAACGCTCCTGCCTCACTCGGCTGAGGCCAGCATGGCGGAGGGCATGGCGGAACCTATCAGGAGGCATCAGAGGGGCTGGCGTGAGCAGGCTAAGCTTCCACCTGCGGCACCGGCACCCCATGTGTCCCGGCTGCTTCTCTTCCGATCCAGCTCCCTGCTAATGCACCTGGGAAAGCAGTGGAAGATGCCCAAGTGCTTGGGCCCCTGCACACGCGTGGGAGACCAGGAAGAAGCTCCTGGGTCCTGATCAGCCCAGCTCCAGCCATTGTGGCCATTTGAGGAGTGAATTCAGCGGATGAAGACCTCTCTCTCTCTCTCTCTCTCTGCCTAAAGGATATTTGAGTGACCGCTGAAATCTCATTATTTAAAGAACGGTTCTGTTTCTTTTGTCCCGCGACAGACCTAGCCTGTGGTGGGCTTCCAGGGGACATCACCCCCTCTGCTGGACTCTGCACACTAAGAAGCATCAAAAAGCAAAGGGGCGCAGGCGCCGCGGCTCACTAGGCTAATCCTCCGCCTTGCGGCACCGGCACACCGGGTTCTAGTCCCGGTCAGGGCGCCGGATTCTGTCCCAGTTGCCCCTCTTCCAGGCCAGCTCTCTGCTGTGGCCAGGGAGTGCAGTGGAAGATGGCCCAAGTGCTTGGGCCCTGCATCCCATGGGAGACCAGGAGAAGCACCTGGCTCTGGGCTTCGGATCAGCGCGGTGCACCCGCTGCAGCGGCCATTGAGGGGATGAACCAACGGCAAAGGAAGACCTTTCTCTCTGTCTCTCTCTCTCACTGTCCACTCTGCCTGTCAATAAATAAATAAATAAATAAGCCCAGGACAAAGCCTGGCCGGGAGCAGCCATTGATAACAGTCATTGGCCAGATGCGGGCGAGTGTCTTTGCTGAGTTCAGAATCCAGTCTGGAAGGAGGCCGAGTGGAAGGCTCTTGCCTGGGCTGGTGCAGGCTTTGCCTCTGGGGTGGGGTGGGGCCCAGGGGGTGGTAGGCAGGAGAGGAGGAGACCCCCCCAGGGGCGGACTTTTGTCCCCAGTGTTGGGGGGCCTGGGGGTGGGGCAGAGGAAGACAAGTCCCCCCCCCACCCGGGTCAGAGCAGGGGTGGGGGGAGGGGGTGCGGCACCAGCGCAGTGAAAGTGGCCCAGGAACCGGTGTGTCCTGCGGGGACGGCTGCCTGTGAGACTCTCACCGAAAGCAGTAATTTTCAGAAGATGGGTCCGCGCTGGACGTGCCGGCTGGGGACCTGCCGCACTTCGCGGAGGTCCCCAGCGTTTCCCGTTTCCAGCTGTTTCCCCGATGCTGGTATTGTAGAATGCCCCGTCCTCGTCCTCGGGAGCCCGTGGACGAAGCACCTGCCGCCTCGCCTTTCCTCTGCTCTCGCCAGTCATCCCTTCTGGGAAGCCGGGAGGGGTCATTTCCTCCGGGCACCCCCAGCTGCCCCTGCGAGCTCTGTTATTTTTACACCCAGTCCTTTTTAGGAGACTTCTTGGTTTTGACATCTGGTTCCGCTTCAGAATGCGAGCCTCCTGCGTATCCCCTGGTGTCACCTCCAGCATCTCCTGTGGCACCCTCAAGTGGAGGAGCCCCTGCGGCACCAGCGCCTCCCCGGCCCCGGGCCTGGCCTCCTCCTGTTGCGCCCCCTGGAGTTGTGCCAGAGGGTGGGGCTTGATGGATTTATAGTCCATGTCTGTACCTTCAACATCTTGTACATTATAGGTAGGAAGTAAATTTATCTGTACAAAATGACTCCAAGATTTCTTTTTTTCAAAGATTGATTTATTATTTCCTGGGGAAAAGAGAGAAGAGAAGATTGATTTACTTTGAAAAGCAGAGTTATAGAGAGAGCGGAGAGGTCTTCCATCCACTGGTTCACTCCTTAAACGGCCGCAACCGCCAGAAGCTTCATCTAGGCCTCCCGCATGGATGGCAGGCACCCAAGCTCTCCCCCACCCCCCACTGCTTTTCCCAGGTGCGTTAGCAGGGAGCCGGAGCAGAAGCAGAGCAGCCGGGACGGGGACTGGCGCCCACCTGGGAAGCTGGAGTGGCGGGCAGCAGCGTAACCGGCTGAGCCCAGCCCCGGCCCTCCACCGCCATTCTAAGGTTGAGACTGCGGGGGGAGGGACGTGGAAGGGAGGAAACACTCTTGTGCCATGTAAATACTCGGATCCTTTGTTGTCCTTGGAATGCTTGTTTGAAGTCTGGGTTTTGCAGCTTCTTCCCAAGGCGGGGCCTGGCGAGGGTAATGTAGAGATGGTTACTCCCAGTCTCAGCCTTCAGGGACAGACACACACAGAGAGACATACACAGACACACACACCCGACACACAGACACACATACAGACACCCCCAACACTCACACACACTCGACACACACAGACACACACACACAATACACAGACACACACACCCAATACACAGACACACACAGAGACACCCCCAACACTCACACACACTCGACACACACACCCAACACACACAGACACACACAGAGACAGACACACACACCCAATACACACACAGACACACACAGAGACACCCCTAACACACACACTCCACACACACACCCCCAATACACAGACACACGCACAGACACACACACCCAATACACACACATAGACACACACACCCAATACATACACACATACACACCCCAACACACATATACACAGACACCCAACACACATACACTCAATACACACACACCCAATACAGACATACCCCAACACACACAGACACATCCCCAACACACACGTACACACATGCACCCAATTTACACACACATACAGACATGTACACACACATAGACACACCCCCACACACTCAACACACACACACACACCCTCTTCAGAAAAGGGCCCGGGGCTTTTTACTCCGCAAAGCAGCCTTCCAGGACGCGGCTGTTGCTTAAGGTGGTGCTGCAATCCAGAGCCCGGGAGTGGGAAGTCCAGAGTTCTCCCGGCTTCTGGGAACAGCCCCCTCCCCCTCCCCCAGCCCAGCGTCCACAGGCAAGTCCTCATGACAGCGGTCAGGCTCACCCGAGGGTTTCCCAAACGCCTGGCCTGTTCCCAGCACGCACAGCTGGGAGGGCTCAGCTGGGGAGGAAGGAGCCAGCACCCTCCTCCTCCTCCCCAGGCCAGGGCCTGGGGCCCGAGCCCAGGGACAGGGAGGGCTACACCTGCCCCTGCTTGCCTCAGCGCCTGCCACGGAGGGCGTGGGAGCTGCGGGCTTGCCTCCCTGCTCGCTGCTTTCCCAGGCTGCCTTAGTCAACATCCCAGCAGGAAGATGCGGGACCCGGAGGCACCCGGGAGGTGCTGGTCATTCAGGCTCCAGGGTGGTGCTCAGGTCTTGGAGTCAGAAGTCCTGGGCTCGGAGTCCAGCAATCTGCAACTTCATGTACGTGGCGGGCCCTGGGGGACAGGCGCCTGAGGAGCCCTGGGGGCAAGGGGGCAGCTCTGGGCAGCCAACCCTGGCCTCAAGTTAGAGCCCCACGTGCTGCAGCCGGGCTGGGGCTGCTGTCTCCATCTCCACAGCCCACGCTCTCACCTGAGGGTGGGGCCTGCCAGCCTAAGTCTCCCGGGAGTTCGGGATCAACGGGACCAGCCGGCGGCCCCACCCGCAGCTGGGGTAGGACCAGGCCTGGCCTACGTAGTGGGGACGCAGCCCAGCGTGATGGAGGCGTGCAGAGCAGCGCGGCCTTCTTCCATTTCCACACCTCCTGGCTTAGCCTGGGCTGCAAGGCCAGCAGGGCCCAGGGCCTGCCCCCGCCCCCGTCCCTGGCAGATGCGCCCACGAAGGAAAGCGCAGGGGTGCCTGAAGGGGAGGGGGCTGTGGGGCTCGGAGGACAAGAGCCCGGGTGGAGTCGGGGTGGGGGTCTGCTCTGCCGGCCCCAGAGTGGGCTGCTCCCCGGCACAAGGAAACTTGATTCACTGGCAGCTACCGAGAGGGTCAGGGCCAGCGACCAGTGACCGCGGGGCCGAGCCGCAGCCTCCCACCCCCTCCCCGGGAGGACGCCCCGCCCCGGCCCCACCCCTTCCTCCCCTCCCCTCCCCCACCCTCACCCCGGCCCGGGAGGGGCGCCCGGCGGCCTCCCGGCCCAGTTTCCTGGCACTGGGCTGAGAATAAACAGCGCTCCGCGCCTGTAATCCCGTTGCCGGGGCGACGGCGCTCGGCGGGTGGGGGCGTGTCGGGGGCGTGGCCTGCGGCCGCGAGGCGCCGCCCCCTCGCGCGGCGCGGACATTCCTCGCATAGCTCCGCCAGGGCTCCCGCGGTGTCCGGGAAGTGACTCTTCCTGGCAGAGGGCGGCCTCGGAGCGACGCGCCCGCCCGCCCGGCGGCCGCCAGCACGGGAGGGGGCGGGGCGGCGCTCCCGGGGCCTCGGGGCCCCCCCGGACGCCCCCGAGCGCCGCGCCGGGCGCCCCCTCCCCACGTCCGCGCTGCCGGGCCGCCTTCGCTCCCCCACCCCCGCGCACGCCTTCGATCTCCCATTCCCGGCTCTAGGTCAGCAGGAGGGCCGCCCCCAACCGGCCTGGGGGAGGACGGGCCTCCTGGGGTGGACCCTGACAGCGCTAGAAGCAGGTAATGGGACGCGCACCCCGCTTCCTGCTGCCTGCCTGGGGCCCCCCAGCCGCACCCCTACCCCACGCTGAGACAGGAGTGCTCCCCATCCCCCCAGCCCATCTTGGAGCCAGGGGTGCCCCTCCCATGGCGGCCGGTGCAGGGGACACCGCACCACTTCTTGAAGGAACATCTGGTAGGGGATGGGATGGAGAGGTAGTGCAGCCCTGGAAGTGGGGGCCACCTGTGTCGCGGCCACTCTCGGGCTGGGCGCACGCCGGAGAGGCATTGCTGCCCTCGGTGCGCCCCGTCTCCTTGTCTGCAGGTCCAGGCTGTGATCCGAAGCCAGGAGAAGGCTGCGGAGGGCAGGGGGCTGCGGGTAGAGAGTCGGGGTCTCCAGGAGGCAGGTGGGGGAGAGCCACTTCCTCTCCAGCCAGAGACAGCCCAGTCCTTGGCTAGGTCCAGTGGCTCTGGGACACCCTGGCGAAGCCGCTGCCTCGAGGTCGGACACAGGGACGGTGCCCGCCCTGCGCGCTACTGTGGAAGGCCAGTGGCAGCCCCCAGGCCCGGCCACCTCGTTTCCCTCCTGGGGGCACTCACCCGAGCTCTCCCCTGGGAGAGTGACCCTGCCCAGTTCTGGAGGTGACGCTGTCCACGCCACGCGCTGGCCCCTTTGTCACTTCAGGTCGGGGTTGCCTTTTGGACACTGAGCAGCTTATCAGGTGCTAGGGGGCCGGGAGCAAGGCTCTGGCCTTCGGTTCAGGCCCCTGGGGTGCAGATAAAAGCTGCGTAGAGGAAAATACTGCAGGGAATCAGAGTTGAGACCTGAGGGGGGGTGGGACGTGACCAGGGGCCACGCTGGCCTCTACCCCGTGTGTGGGGGAGGAGGGGAGGGGTCACAGGCCCTGGAGTCCAGATGCTTCTGGGTTCTGGGGCAGGCATATGGCACAGTGCTTAGCACCCAGCCTGAGACCCTGGGGGGCAGCAGGTGGTGCTCAAAGCACGAGGGTCCCTACCGCCCACCACCCGCGTGGGAGACCTGCATGGAGCGCCTGCCTCCTGGCTTGGGGCCCTGGGAAGTGAACGCCTGGATGGCGCATTTCTGTCTCTTTGCCTTTCAAATAAAATACTTGTAAAAATGTCCCCTGGGTTATTCCCACCTTCTCAAGTGCTGTGGCCCTGAGCACGTTGTCCATTGTCCAGCCTCTCTGAACCTGCATCCCTGCCCCCGTTTGGTGGACAAATATTTGCGGAGCACCTGCCTAGGCACCAGGAGTGGCCAGGCCAGGTCCCTCCCTGCAGGGGGTGCCTGGGGGCTAAGCCAGGTAGCCTTGAAGCGCCTCAGGGCGGGCGGGCGTGAGTGGCCCAGTCCCAAGACCAGAGCGGCCGGCCGCTCCTTTTGGGAGAAGTGTGGCCCATCCTAGGGGCATGCAAGGATTGCATGGGGCTCCTCCCTCTCTCCACACCGCGGTGCCGGGTTACAGGTCAAGGCCAGGACCCCATGGTCTGGGCTTTCTCAGAACAGCTCCTGGCTGCTGAAAGCGCCGACCACAGCTCAGCTCGCTCCCTGCAAACCTTTGAAGGCTTCCTTCGAACTCACTTTGCATATTCTGGTCAGATGTGAATCAGAGTGGCAGGAATTACCCTCCTGGTACCCGTCTAGGTGGCTGCCATAGCCTGTGGGTGACACACGCAGGCACAGATGGACATGAAGGGCTCGCCGCCTGCGTGGTGAGGGGGCCCCGGGGCCCCGGCCGCCCTTCCTCCCAGACGCAGTGTAGTAGGTGTGGACGAAAGAGAAAGTGCGGGGGGGGGGGGGGGAGTGGGAGTGGGGAAAAAGGTTGCAGGCACGTCATTCCTTAAAAAATAGTGCTCTTTATTATAAATTACTGAAATGCTTCTCTTCTGAATATAAATATGTGCAAAGTTTGACTGGGGTCGGGATTTGGTTGAGTTCTTCAAGCATCTCCTAACGGCCTTGACGGCCCGAGGGGGGGGGAGAAGGCTGGAGGTGGACTCTGTATAAAAAGATAGAGTGATTGAGGCAGATTGTAAACATTATTAAAAAACAAGAAACACAAAAACAGAGGTGGGGGGAGACCCCAACACACAGCTGCCCCATCCAGCCCGAGACCTGACACAGACCCGGTGTGTGTGTTTGGACCCCTTCCTCCCCCAAAGCACAGTTCCAGGTAATTCCATTGCTGCTACATTCCTGTAGTTGTCACTGCTCTGTGGCTGGAGCAGCAGGCGCCCAGGCTGGGAGGGCGGGCTGTGCAGGGGCCCAGGCAGCAGGACCAGGGAGGCCCTGCTCCGACCAGCTGGGCTCACCTTCTCCCAGGGCTCAGCTGGAAGGCAGGCATGGGTCTCCACTCCCCAAGCCACCTTCGATGGCAGTGGCTGGCTGGGTGCCCCCCGCCCGGGGCCCCAGGGCACGAATCCCTTGGCCTCCCTCTGTCTGGATGGCGTGGGTGTGGCTGCTCGTGTGCCAGTCCCCTTCCGTGAGACAGGGGACATTAAGGCGAAATCTCCTGCCAGACAGCCAGGAGGCACCAAGTAGAATCTCTGTTCTGTCTGCCAGGGTCAGGGGTCAAAGATGGCTCACCCCACCCCCCGCCCCAGGGGCTAGAAGGGGTGAAAGGCGACAACTAACCAGCCACCCGGCCTCTCCAGGTGCCATGTCCCCCTTAAAACGGAGGAAGGGCCCTGGGCTCCAGGGCACCCGGTGGACTTTGGGACCTGTCCCAGGGGAGAGGCCGAGGGGCACCAGGACACTGCCTTCGGGTCACGCCTGCCCCCCTCCCCGCCCAGTGCCAGGGAGAGAAGCGGACGGCCATCCTCCTCGCCTGGGCCGGGCCAGGGAGGGCAGCGGCCCCCTGCAGCCGCTCTCTCTTCCAGCCTTTCCCAGCCACCGCCTCCCCCCAACCTGCTCGGCCTTAAACCAAAATCCAAGAGCAAACAAGTTCCGTTGGAAAGTTTGAAAATCCCCCAGGGCCCTTGGCCGCAGTTCAGCACTCCTGGGGGCAGCGCTCCCAGCCGGAAGCTGAGGGGCAGTGGAGAAAGGAGGCGAATCCACGGGCTGCCACCGTCCCCAGCCGGCCAGCAGGTCCTCCCGGGAAGCTGGAGTGGGGGAGGGGCGCCCCATGCCCTCACAGCGTTCCAGGTCCAGCCTGCCCCATTCCGCGGCGGGGAGGGTCCGTCGGCCCCCTGGCCCTCTCCCGGAGCAGCGGCGGGCCTGCCTTCCTCCACACTGGATTCTTGTGCTTGCACCACGGAGCAGAGGGGACCCAGGCCCCCCTCCCAGACCCCCGCCGCCTGCCGACTAAAGCGGGGCGTCGTACTGGTCCAGGAACTCCCGAATTGGCCCCGGCAGCTGGGTGACCTTCTCGTAGGAGTCCAGGTGGCCGTTGACCGTCTTCCGGCAGAGATGCTGCAGGGTGGCCACGGTGGAGGACAGCGGCCGGCTCAACACCAGGGGGATCTTCTCGCCCCCGGAGTAGATGTAGTAGGCTCGGCGCGGGGGGCTCCCGGGCGGCGGCGGCTGCTCGGGCTCCTCCGAGGCCTCGGGGGCTGGGGGCTCCGGGGAGGGCGGGGCGTCCGCAGGCGGCATGTAGTGCCGCACCAGCTTCAGCACGCAGTCGAAGCGGGGCACAGGCTGCGTGCTCCGGGGGTCGCTCTGCAGCGAGAAGCTGCCCCCCTCGCACTGGATGCGCAGGTTCTTGGTCCCCGACTGGGTCTTGACGCTCAGCGTGAAGAAGTGGCGCTGGTCCGAGCTGTCGCGGATGAGGAAGGTGCCGGCGGGCTGCGCGCTGAGCAGCAGGTTCGCCTCGCCGCCCGTCACCGCGCTCCAGTAGAAGCCGCTCTCCTGTAGCTTGCGCACTGCGTTCACCACCAGCTGGTACTCGCTCTTGGAGCTGAAGGTCTTGAGGCGCAGGCTGGTGTCCAGCGGGCGGCTCATCCCGGCGGCGGGAAACTTGCTGTGGGTGACCATGGCGCACGGAGCCAGCGTGGATCTGCGCGGCGGCGGCTGCAGCTGCTTCACGGCCTCCGCACAGCGGCCGCTACCGCATCCCGGGGGGCTGCGGGGAGGAAGGCGCACGCCGCGTGAGTGCCCGGAACCCTCCAGCGCGCCCAGCCCGCCCCGGCTCCCCTGCCTCCACCCGGTGCGCGGGGCATCCCCCGCTTCGGAGGCCCCCGCGGCGACCCGGGCACCGCGCAGAGTCGGCCCTGCCCCCGTCGCCGGGGTGGTCCCGGGCGGCCCCTTCCCCAGCGCGCACCAGGAGGGCGCCGAGTGGGAAACTCGAGCGCGCGGAAGTTGGGTCTCTAGGAGCGCCGCCCGGCCCGGCAGCGGGAGAGGGCTCCCGGGACGCTCCGGGCGCCTCTCAGTCCCGGGGAGAAACCCGAGGCTTGGGGGTGGGGAGCGGACGGGAGAAGCCGGAGCGCCCCAGCCCGAGCATTCCGGGAACCTGGGATCTCCGGCTCCCATCCGCTCAGCCCCTGCCTCGTCCCCTCCCTGCCGGGAACAGCCCGGGAAGGGGAGGGGACACCGGGCAAAGCTCCGGGCGCTAAGCAAGACCCCCCTCGCGGCCCTCCCCACGCCGCACCCCTCCTTCCTACCTTCGTCCCGAACCCAAGTCTCCAGCCTCCGGGCTGCGCCTCCTGCGGCCCCCCGAGGCGAGGCGGCGGCGGCGGCCAAGCGGTGGCCCGCGCAGCGCGCAGATGTTGGCGGCCGCGAAGTCCACAAAGGGGCCCCGGCGTGCCCGTCCTGAAGCCCGGGTCGGGCCGGTCTCTCAGGGAGGAGGTAGGGGCCGCGGCGGGCACGGAGCCGGCGGCGCGCGGGGCCGGAGCGGCGGCGGCGGCGGCGGCGGCGCGGGGCGCGGGGCGCGGGGCGGGAGCCGCGGCCGGGGCCGCGCGCGCGGGTATATAGGCGGCCTCCGCCCCGCCCCCCGGTTCCTGGAACTGCGCGGCCGGCCTTCTTGTAATGTTTAGTCACTACTCGCAGCGCCGGAGGCTGCGCCCGCGAGGGCGGGGCCGGCCGGGCGGGCCGCGGGCAGGGGCCGCGCGGCACAGGCGCGCGCAGACAAAGCGCCAGCCCGGGCGGCCCGGCGGCCGGCGGGCGCGGCGCCAGCCCCGGCGGCGCGTTCCTGGCAGCGGCCCCTCCCCCGCGCCCCGCCCCCGGCGGCTCATTCACACTTTCCCCCGCCCCCTCCCTTCTAAGAAGGCCGGTTTCTGGCGGGGGCGGGCGCGCCGCGAGCGAGCGCAGGCACTTCTAGGAGGCCGGCCGGGAGAGGCTCCCTGGTACCCTTTTTTGCTTTTCCCGGACCCCGCGGGGACACCCCCTCGCCCCCACCCGGGCCGGCCCAAAGTCCCGATGGCTGCCCCAGGCCGGCCGAAGGGGAGCCGGGGCCTGTTCTCCGCCGGGCCGTGGAGGGGCGGGGGCGGCGAGGGTCTGAGCCAGGAGCTGCTGGAGGTGGGCGCGCGCGGCCTCACCTGTGGGCTGCGTCGCTGAAGCGAGGCCGGGAGTCCCCGGGGGTGGGGGGTGGGGGACACAGCCTGCGTGGCAGCTCGGCCCGCCGCCGGGCTCTCTGGAGGCGCAGACACGGGTGCCAGACCCTCGCCCCCGTGCACGCACGTACACACCCAGAAAAAGCCGCGTCCACGCGCACGTCTGTTCCGGACCCGCGTGGGTCGAGCCAGGTGCTGCTGTCCCCGAGGCCTCTTAGGGACGCCAGGGTGCTGCCCCGCGCCCGCTAGGGGGCGCCCTGGGGTCTCGTAGGGGCCGGCGGGAATGGCTTGGGAGGGAGCTGCAGGGGGTGGTGGATGCCTAAGAGGGGGGCGCTCACCACCCGGGCCGGGTCAGCCTGGGAGTAAAAGTTAGGCAGGCGAGAACTCGCGGGTGGTGCAGCCGCGCCCGGGACGTGTCTCCCGTGTCGCCTGCAGTGAGAAGAGGAAGATGGAGGATGAAGAGGAGACCAGGGGAGGACGCAGGACTGAGTTGCTCTTGGTCACGGTGGTTCCGGCTGGGGGACCCGGCGGCAGCTCCGTGGGCAGAGCAGCCGTGAGCAGAAATCGGGTTCCTTCTGCAGGGGGACATTGGCTTGGTCCACACAGTTCACAAGCACTGGGTGCCGGGTGCCGGGTGCCGAGCGAGGTATCCCCGGGGTGGGGTGGGGGGGTGAGTGAGACCCAGGCTGCGCCCTCACAGTACTTGCAGCCCGAGGAGCGGGCTGGGGCTGCGGCTGCTTCTCCTCTCCGCACCCCGGCGCCTCACCCTCTCCCCACCCCTTGCCGGCCTGCCCAGCCGTGGAGGACGGGAGTAGCCCTGGAGTTAATGGAGGAGAAAGTGCTTTGTAAGTGACAAGAGTCCATTCATTCGTCCATCCCGGGGAGCTGCGTGCAGGACCTGTTTCAGCCTGGCCTGGCGCTGGGACCAGCAAGCAGGGTGGATCCCGCTGGGACCAGCGGCCTGGGACCTGGGCTGGGGGAGCCTTGGCTAGGGTGGTGACCGGCAGGCAGAGGTTGTTTAGCAGGTGTTGGGAGAGGGCAAAGAATTCCGGAACGCCAGGAATCCCAGCCTGCTTCTCCCAAAACAAGTCCCCAGGGAGCGGGCTGTTGGGGGGGAGGGGCCTTTGCTGGGGAGCCTAAGGGGGTCCAAGGGAGCGGCGGAAATTTGCAGAGTCCAGGGGGACGGGGTAGAGGTTTGGGGGGTAGGTGGGTTGGGGTAGAGGCGGGGCCAGCAGGCCTGCCTGGGGCTCAGGGCGGGGCTCCTGGGTTCTAAGTCTGGAGACTCCACTGCTCACTGGGCTCCACCACTGCCCAGTAGCTGTGTGACCCTGGGCACTCCGGTCACCCTTATGTGTGCAGCAGGCTGGAAGAGCTGAGAGGTGCAGGAAGCTGGTGTGGGCCACCCTTGAGGGCCCTGTGGGGTGGGGTGGGGTGGGTGGGGACAGAGCTGAGCCTTGGCAGTTTGCCAGGGTGTAAGGAAGGGTGGTGGCCAGAGGTTCTGCTCTGTGCGATGCCACCCCCCTGCCCCCACGTCTCCCCGTTCCCCTGCCCCGCCTCCACTCAGGGCGAATTCCAGCCTCCTCCGTGTTCTGTGGGCCTGGGGCTCCTTGCCCTCCCTGCGCCCGCGCTGGTCCCCAGGCCTGGGGCTTTGCACATTTGCTTCCCTGGGGGTGCAGCTCCCTTCCTCCCTTCCGGCTGCCCTCTACTTTTCCCTTGGGGCCCAGCAGGCGCGCTGGGGCACAGCGGTTTAGTGCCTGGTGCCAGTCCTGCCTTCCCAGCCAGCTCCCTGCTAGTGCACCTGGGAGACAGCAGAGGATGGGCCCCAAGTCCTCGGGCCCCTGCCACTCCCTCGTGGGTGACCTGGGTGGAGCGCCTGTCTCCTGTCTTGTCTTTGGCCTGGCCCAGGCCTGGCTGTTACAGGCAATGGGTGAACCTGAACCAGCAGGTGGAGGATCTCTGTCGCTGTATCAATAAATCGAAAGAAAGAAACCTTCAAGGGTTTTGCATGTTGACTAAAATGCTCTCCCTGCCTGTCGAGGAAAAACTCCGCATTGTCCTTGTCGGCCTGGAACCCTGACGTGCCCGGTGAACCTCCGCACGAGCGAGCGTCTGGGTGAGCCTTCCCCAGCCCTCTGAGATACATTCTTCCGACACAGTGTCCGTCTCTTCCCCCAGAGTTCAGAAGCCCCTGGGTGAACGGGGCAGGGGCCGCGGGACTGGGAGGTCCCCTTGCTGGCCTGCCGGGGACCACGACACCTGTTCACTCCAAGGCGAAGGGGAGGGGGCACCCTGGGCAGCAGGCAAGGAGCCGGTGGGCAGCGGGTGCCAGGCCCGGGCCAGCGCTGAGGTCCTGCCGTCTCATCTCCCCGGTCTGCAGGGCAGGCAGCCTTCCCCAGGTCGGGCCCCTTGGCTCCACCTACCTGCCTTCCCGGTGATGGGATTTCGGAGACTCCTGCCTTTTCCTAATCTCTCCCTTTGCAGAATTTCTGTGAAGTCAGAATCCCATTTCCAGGCAGAGGTGCTTGGTCATAAAGATAATAGAGAGATTCCTGCCCAGTGGAGGGGAAGTACGCAGTGGTTTCGACTGCCCGAAGGGTTCCTCTTACTCATGGTTTGTGTGTGTGCGTGTGTGTGTGACACTCTGAGCTCGTCCCCAAACCCCCAGATGGGAAGGAACGCTGGCTGGCGCCTGGGGGTGGGGGGTCGCAGGAAGCTGTGGCACGGCTTGGTGAACCCAGGCTTCCTCGCTTGCCAGGCCTGCGGGCGGACATGAAGATCACCACGGTTCGTGGCTGCCTTTGCAGCCAGACGAGCTGGGAGACAGGCCTCAGACCACAGAGTTGCCAAACCCCAAGCCCAGGCCTCCCTGCCTTCAAGCCTGCTGGGCTGCCTGCAGCACTCAGGGCAGCCTGGGCTGGACGGACCAGGGGCCGGACATCGGCTGTCCTGTGTCCGCAGCACCTGGGGACGCCGTGCAGGGTGGCGGTGGGGCAGCTTCCAGTCCAGAGTCAGCAGTCAGAGGCTGGGGTGGGGGGCTCCCCTCTGTCTCCCGGCCAATCTGGAGCCACGTCAGGGCCTGCCTGTCCTATGCCCTCCTGGACGCTGAGGCCGGGTTCCAGCCTGGCTCCAGCCTGGTGCGCTGTAGCCCCTCCAGGCTCAGGTCAGGCTTCCCTGGCCACCACAGGACCGTTGCCGAGGTGACAGGTTCAGGGGTCGCGCCCACCCGGCTGACCCCCGGTCTCTCTCTTTCCTGCTCCAGACAATCCCACGGGGCGGGCCCTGGGAGGCAAGGACAATGGGTTGCCATCGGGAAACGGCATTCCAGCTGCAGGCCTTAGGCCTTTGTTCCTGCCGGGAGGGGCGGCGGGGCTAATGAAAAGGTTTGCGGCTCGAGTGTCTCTGAGGCGGCAGCCGCGAGGAGTCCTTTGAAGCCGGCATTCCAGGCCCCGCGGCCTCTGGCATTTCCCAGAAACTGAGGAGGAAGGGTAGGGAAAGCGTTCCCGTTACCACCCACCAGAGCCCCATGC